GTAACTGCATCAACACGTCCATCTCCAACAAACTAAATAAAAAAAAAAAATCACAATGTAATAAGCCATGGATAACGAGGGAAATAATGCATGTAAAACGCAGGCTACAGCGCAAAAAACGGAACTGCCATTAGGAGCGTTCAGATATTTCCAAAATGCAGCTAGAAAAAAAAAATTAGTTTTGCGAAATATATTTCTTTCTTGGCACTCTCGACAACCTTTTTGAAGAAGCACCCAGTAAGTTCTGTTCTTAAGTGTAACAAAGAAAAGAGAAGTTGAATGTATATGTTAGTGGCTGACAAGTTACTGATCCTAAAGAGATTGTGGTAGAGTTTAATCAGTACTTTCAGTCTGTTTTCAGTGTTAATGGGCAAACGTCAGACAATGAAAAAAGTAAGCACGCTCGTTGATGGGAGATCCCTGTTTGAGTCAGGAGGGTATCTTTAATATTTGCTGAAACGCCTACACTCTTAATCTGGGACCGTCAAACTCCACGGTCATGGCCGTGACGTTCAAAGTTTTCAGGACTTAGCCGCGAACTGATCCGGCCCCGTCAAAATAGCCGTGCACGTCACGGCTGCAGTTGGCCCTTCCCGTGTTTGATGCTGCGAATGGCTCTATAGGTGGCTCCGTAGGCGGCCCTGTAATTTTTGGCGGCCCGCTTGTGCAGGGCCGGCAAAAACGGGCCGGCTATGTGCATAATAGCGGAAAAAAAAAAACACTCTGCTCTGCGCTAGATGGCAGCAGTTGAGGCCGCCCAGTGTTCCCCGCGGGCGCACCCAGCGGGCACGCATGCGCATAACGATAATTTCTCTTCTCGGTGTGCAAGGACGGTGAATTTCGAACGTACGTAGTACGAATATAATCGGAAGCATCTGCGGTTGACATTTGTTTTCTTATGGTGATGTAAGCCTATGTTAGAGAATGCACCGAAGCCGCGGGACGGTGAGTTAGTTCTTCAGGATGCTCACTTCGAAGGATACCAAAGGAATTCGACGCGGGCAATGTAACCACGAGGAAACATGTGAATGCGATGGGTTCACACGGCCCGCTGATCTGGCGCCACGACCAGCACGACCACCACTACTGAGCCAACTTGGCTGGTGCCGCTACTGCGGGCACAGTCCTCTTCAGCATATCGACTGGGTAATTATGTAGCTCACTGGCTAATAACGAATTAGAGTCGAATGCTGAAAGAGTTCCTAACCAGTAACTTTTATTCTCGCCAACAGAGGACAAGTGGGACCCTGTCCTGGACGATACAGGTATCGATACACAATATTTTTGTATTCTAAGAAGCACGTTTGGAATCGCCTCCTTTCACATTATTCGGATACCGGCTGGCGTCGCCGGTGGAAAGCGGAGAAGAGATTTACTTCGTTTCATCTTAGCGTGGACTTACCATAACGGCTACAAGCGCGGACTCTTCGCGTTTGACGCCAGCTCGGCTGTGCACAAGCACTCCTGGTAGGTGACAATCTTTAAAGTCATGGGGTCACAGTCGCAGCCCTTACGGTTTACCTATGGTAGGGTGAGGCAAGAAAGCTACCCGGCTATGCCTCGACGGTGGCCACCAGCATTTTACAGCGACAAGGTGTAAATAGTTAACAGGGGGGTACTTTCCTCTTGCCGAACTGTCCGCCGATAGAGCACGGCGTATACGGCGCACTCATCAGCTTGCCCCGTCCGAGGTATATAGTCGCGCGTCTCGGCCGGCGTCGACGATCGCGTTGAGCAAAGGAGGATTGCCGCACAAGAAACATTTATACTAAAATTGATGATGAATGTAACATCTAGGATACACTAAGTTTGCCCTTGCGCGTGCACCCTCGTTTGCTCACGCGACTGTCGACATCGGCCGAAACGTTCTTTTTGTGTGAACGAGTTTATAAGCTTTTATTAGGCTAACTGAATTTAAGAAATGTATTGTATTAAACAATCTTTTTGAAAAAAAAAGTCACACTATCTGTTTTACAATATTTGACGCAGTTTAGCAAGGTCTTTACCCTGACGTGACCATACTTTTAAGTGTAGTAATTGCAGAAAGTTAATTATTTCAAATGATTCGACACCATAATTATTTGAACGTCAAACTTTATGAATTTTCATATTAAACAAAATTATCTTTTTATGTGCAACGTGTAGTTTTTGAGCAGAGATTTGGCCGACGTGTAATGACGCAGCCTGTATGATATAGCCAGGACCTGTAGTTCCTGACAAGTGGACAGACCCCGCTCCCCTGCCTGGTGGCGTCAAAATTTACTGTTTTGTTCCCACTCTTCAAACTGCCACCAAAGCTATAGGGTCTATCCATATGCCATCAGACTACTTTTTAATGTCGAGTAACTACAAACAAGCATGGTCGCCGAAAGCAAATGCGGTTATCTAATTCGCGAATTTCTTTTGCTTTCTTTTGTTTACCGTAGAGCATATAAATAAACCTTATGTTAGCGGCCATGCTTGTGGCCGATTACTCAGCATCTGAATAGACTCTAACGTCCCGCAAGCTGCTTTCTAAAAACCCACTTGTTCGATAAGATTTAGAACGTAATTAAGATACAAGAAATGTTCTCTCTCCCTTATTCTCTTAAAATAAACTGTTGAAAATTCTCAATCGCAGCAGCATCATGTCTTGCCGACGGAGGCAACTGGCCTTCGGGCGTGTCGCGGAGACCCGTCTTGTGGCACGAAGCTCTGGCTGACTGCAACACACTTGGCTCGGATAGCGCACCTTCAACTGCGGCGGGTCGTAGTTCGCCAAGTGTGTCAAGTGAAAGCAACGACCGTGCTTCCACCAATGTTTCAGCAAGTGACACAAGTTTTCATATACCTTTCTATTTTATTGTTTGAATGTGGTATTTATTACAACAAAGCACCACCGGTATCTTCAGCTGTGCATCTAATAGAAACAAATAAATGGATAGTTCACCTGCGGACCCACTGTTCTTTTAAATGTTAGGAACCTTCCTCTTGAAACAATTCCTGTATATTTACTTTCCCCGAGAGCACTCGGCAAGTCAATCTCTAAAGTATACAAACTAGCTTGGCAATGCTTTTTCAATATGTTTTGCGACTCAAAACTAAAGTTGCGGCGTGACTATGTGCATGACGTCTCATAAGAAGACGTCAGGCTCAGTGCAACGTCACAGCTTTATTTTTACGGTGAAAATTTCCTGTACTTCTCAATCCGCGGGCTTTCTTCGTGGATCACAGTCCTGAACCCTCTGAGGTACTCTTCGGGGGAGTGGACGATGGAACATTTTTATAGCCAGCAGAAAACGGGCAACCTAGAAGACGGGCAGCCAGAAAACGGGCCAGCCAGAAAACGGGCCAGCTAGAAAACGGGCCAGCTAAAAAAAGGGCCGGCAAGATCCAACTTGTCACGCCAAATTTTGGGGCCACCTAAAAAGGGACGGCAAACGGGCTGGCAATTTTACGTGGCCCCAAAATTTGACGTGGCAAGTTGGATCTCATTTGTCACGGCTATAGGTCCTTAGTGAAAATTCCATCAAGATAAGTAATTTGGGACACTAACTGCCAGTCAGCAGCCTTGGTGGAACGTGCCCTGATGGTCCATTAGATGACGTCTGACTGCCACTGCCAAGGGAATTTCATCAACAAGGGCAGCATTTATATAAGAGTAAAGCTATGCGCCCTCATAAATATCGCCAAATGCCTCGATAAACAAAATTTTCGAGAAAAAAAAGAAGAAATAAAAAAAACAGGTCCACCGCGGATCGAACCCGCGTCGACTTGCGTACAAAGCGGACACCTTAACACCTATGCTATCCCATGTTTTTTTTTATTTATTGTCCCTATGCTATCCCATCTTTTTTTGAGCAAATGTTTATTTACAGGTTAAAAACATAAGTAGCAAGAATGGAAAAATGAGGTATATGCATATGTTAGAGCAAAAAAAAAGAAAAAAGAACGTTACATAGTTTAGACATTGCATTCAATGACCCAGGTGCAGAGTAAATCAGTTAAAGGCTACAACATTGTTAATGAATGCAGTAACCTCAGCTCTGGATGTGTACTACACTCGAAAATGTTAAAAAGAATATTTTAGAGTGAGGCACTTGCAAAGGCGACGGATAATCTTCTCGAAGCATGAAAATAAGGTGCTACCTTTTGACCTTTTCCCAGAGTGTTTCTTAGATTGTTTTTCTATTTCAACTGGTTCTAAAGTTCAAATAGTCCAGTCCAATTTGTTAGCAAAGTGTCGCCACGCAGGTTAAGGGTTTAGTGTGCACTCTGTCATGTCTACTCTTGACCGCCATAGCACACGTAGGTCTAAAACCATGATTATCTCCGTCAGGTCAGTCAGCGTCCTTTTGTCGTGCAGCAGTAGGAATTTCAAAGTACACGTACTAATTGACTCTTCAGGTCATCGTGGCCGGACAGGATGGAATCCTGCTCGGTGATGGGAGCTTTGGGAGATGACGATTTCGTTCGCCTCTTCCTCCTCCTCTTCGACTCTGCCCTCTCCCCTTGAGATGTGGAGCCAGGATCTGACGTGCACTGAATTTGTTCTCCCTTTCTTTTCCCAAGCATTTCTTTGTTGCTGGTTACATCCATTTCGGACGCCTCTTCGTCTGACTTCATTGGCTCTTCAGCTTGATCTTCAGCTCGGTCTTCAGGGACAAGAGCACTGAACGAGTTGGAGACGACAACATTGCTCACTGTCTCCTTCGTTGCAGAGCGTGACGACGCCGACCTGTCTTCGCACTTCTCAGTCCGTGAGACTGCCTCTACGTGGGCTGTGCTGTGAGCGGTGCTGACCTCAGCCGAAACCTCTGTTTGTGCTGTTTCTTCTGCGTCTATTAAGATTTCTGTAGGAATCTGGAGAAATGCAGCCATTCGGTTGGCGTACGTTTGAATACAGTCTTCGGGATCGTGGCCGAATTTTCGGCATACGCTACACCAGTGAGCGCGGCACTGGCCTCGGACGTGTCCGACTTGCCTGCATCGTAGACATTGCGGTGCTCTGCCAAACTGGGCACGGCAGCTCTGCCAAGAACATGCGGCTAAACCCGCTTCTATTCTTCATGCAGTTTGTGCTGCTGTGGCCGAAGTCTTTTTTCGGCCCGGTGGTTTCTGCTGATTCGGTGGCTGCTCCGATCTTCGCACCGTCATCATCCAACGCCGTCCCACATCTACACCTGGTGGTCATCGCAGCCAGTGCACCGACGTCATCAACATCGACGGAACCAGCAGCTTTAAAGCCGAAGACGAACCAACGACCTACCAGTGGGCACGGCAGCTCTGTCAAGAACATGCGGCTAAACCCGCTTCTATTCTTCATGCAGTTTGTGCTGCTGTGGCCGAAGTCTTTTTTCGGCCCGGTGGTTTCTGCTGATTCGGTGGCTGCTCCGATCTTCGCACCGTCATCATCCAACGCCGTGCCACATCTACACCTGGTGGTCATCGCAGCCAGTGCACCGACGTCATCAACATCGACGGAACCAGCAGCTATAAAGCCGAAGACGGACCAACGACCTACCAGTGGGCACGGCAGCTCTGTCAAGAACATGCGGCTAAACCCGCTTCTATTCTTCATGCAGGTTGGTTGCTCGTACTCCTTGTACAAAAGCGACGAACTTTGTTCAGCTGTGCTGCCGTGCCCCACAACTGTTTTCCGGTGCTTTGTTGATACCGTTGCGCTACTCTTGCAATTAAGCGGTGACATTGAAAGTAATCCAGGTCCTACAGTTGAAGAAATGTTGGCTGAAGTTTTGGAAAGCCAGTCCCAAATGGCCAAGGAACTTGCCGCTATAAATGAAAATAAAAAACGAGCGGAAGAAAAATTCACGGAAATTAACCAGAAGTTAGGGAGCTTCGAAGCTAAGTTGTCGACCCTAGAAGCGACAGTTAAACTTTTTTTTGACAATGAAGAACGCATCGTATCAATGGAAAGTGTAATGGCTGATTTGGTAGACAAGATTGACGATCTCGAAAATATAAGTCGCCGAAATAATCTTGTAATTTTTGGCGTGCCTGAGACCAATGACGAGACAGCTGAATCACTTCATGGAACCGTAGTGAATCGACTGTTTTGTGATACGCTTGGTTTACCAGCTGCAACCACTGAGAGAGTGCACCGCCTCGGGCGTCGAACAGATGGTAAAACTAGACCAGTCATGGTGAAGTTTTTAAATGTTTCAGAGAAGATGTCAGTTTTGAGAAACTGCCCGAAACTGAAGGGATCGACGACCTCTATTTCAGAAGACTTTTCTTTACGTGTTCGAAATATTCGCAAACAGCTCTGGGACAGCGCTATCGAAAATCGTAAGAAAGGCGATAAAGTTACTCTAATCTACAACAAGCTAAAAATAAATAATACACTCTACATCTGGGACGCCGAAAAACAGACACGAATAGCACTGAGTCAGCCAAAACCCTCGCGACAAATATGACAGTCCAGGCGCAATGCCACTGATTCGATTAGATTCTTAAATTTGAATGCGAGGAGCATAATGAATAAAGTTGTTGATATCGAACACGTGTTACTAACGCGCAAACCGCACATCACAGTCATCACAGAGACCTGGTTACATAAAGAAGTATCTCATTCTGAGGTTATTCCCCCAGACTATAAAATAGTACGAAAAGACAGACACACGCGTGGTGGGGGCGTAGCCATTATTCTTACAAAAAATTTGCACTATAACCGAATGCCAGATATTGATGGCGTAGAAATTTTATGGGTTCGTGTGAACATTTTTTCTACATCACTTATCATCGGTGCTTTCTATAGACCACCTAGCAGCGGAAACGTTTTCGAAAAAATAAAAGACTATCTTTCAGAGAATGTAAACGCGAACTCCAGAGTTATTTTTGCTGGCGATTTCAGTCTACCAGACATTGACTGGGAGAACAGTTGGTCTTCGTGCCAGATATCGCAAACAGAGCTATCTTTTTGTCACAATCTAAATCAAATTGTACGCTCCCCTACAAGACTTCTTGAAGAAAAAGGCTCAATACTGGATTTGATATTACTTTCCCAGAACTTACTTGAACGAGTACAGTGCATTGAAGTAGTGGAAGGCATTTTAGACCATCAGATGGTATTACTTACTTCGTCTTTAATGAATCAAACACGCAACACAGAAAGACGTAACGAATACTTAGACTTCTCTAAAGCTGATGACGTTGCTATTATTGACTCGTTAGCCTTCTGTTTTAGCGATTTTCTTCGTGCTTACGAAGTGCCCGAGTACGACGTGAACTTTTTCTGGAACTTCTTCGAAAATGTCGTTCTCGACTGCATCAACAAATTCATACCAAAAAGAGTAAAGATTTCCAGCAAAAAAAATCCGTGGATTAATAGGAAAATTATCCGAAAGCGCCGTAAACTCCGTAGACTCCGTAAGCGATCAAAGGATGGAAGCCACGTGAAGCAGTTGGACCATGAACTGAGGGAAAACATTAAAGAGGCGAAACATCGCCTCTTTGATGTGACCTTATCTTCTTTTCTCCAGTCTTCGCCTGAGAAGTTTTGGAGGTTTAAATCGCCCTCAAAGTTTAGGGTAAGCGAGTTGCATATTAATAACGACATTGTGGACGACCCTAAGGGCATTGCTGATACTCTCAATAACTGCTTCACGTCGGTCTTCAGCCTTGACAACAATCGAGGGCCGGTCCAGGCGGCTATGCCGGGAAACAGTTCACGTAGTAGAAATGCTTTGCCGAATATAACGATTTCTGAGGAGGGTATAGTGAATTATCTACTGAATGTTGACATTAAAAAGGCAGCTGGGCCAGACAACATTCCTAATGCCTTTCTCAGAAGATACGCGGAATGGAGCGCCAAGTACTTGGTTTTGATATTCAGAAAATCTCTGGAGACGTCCACGGTACCCTCCAAATGGAAAGTCGCAAAGGTTATCCCAATTTTAAGGTCTGGTGACTCAAGATCAGTTTCCAATTATAGGCTTATTTCTCTGCTTAGTACGTGCAGTAAGGTGTTGGAACATGTGGTGTTTAAACACATATCGACATATCTTGAACAAAATAATTTTTTACTACTTTTCAACATGGTTTTCGCCAAAAAGTATCTACCATTACCCAACTGACAGAAACTGTGCATGAATTTGCATCGGTGATTAACGTAAGGGGGCAAACTGATGTGATTTACTTAGATTTTTCGAAAGCCTTCGATCGCGTATCGCATGAAAAGTTACTGATAAAGCTGTCACCAGTTTTAGATAATCCTGCTACCTTGAAGTGGCTTAAAAGTTACTTATCTCTGAGATAGCAGTTTGTTCAAGTTGACACCGCACGCTCCGGTACCACACACGTAACCTCTGGCGTCCCACAGGGATCGGTCCTGGGGCCTTTGTTGTTTTTAATGTTCGTGAATGATATTGTTTCTGGAATTCCAGTAAAGATCCGACTGTTTGCGGATGATTGTGTTATTTTTAGAGAAATCAAAAGTTCTGCGGACTGTGAAGTACTAAGCTCCTCGTTAGAAAAATTCTTTAGATGGTGTGATGACTGGAAAATGTTACTAAATTTATCAAAGACTGTATGTATGTCAATTACTCGAAAAAAGGAGCCTATTATTTTTAATTATTCGATTGGGAACCGTAACCTTCAGAGAGTAAGTTCATATAAATATCTGGGGTTGACAATAACGTCTGATCTTAAATGGAATGCTCATATCAATCAAACCGTTGGTAAAGCATTGCGTAAGCTTGGTTTCTTGCGTAGGTATATGAGGCAGGCCTCCTGTGATACAAAACTACTACTGTATAAAACTCTTGTTCGGCCAGTGCTGGAATATGCTAGCGTCATTTGGGATCCACATACCTCATCTTGTATTTCAGAACTTGAGCGAATTCAAAGATTAGCAGTGCGCTTTGTGTATAGCATGTACTCCTCATATGTATCTCCATCAAAACTCTGTAATGACGCAGGCCTGGAAACTCTACAGGAAAGAAGGAGAATAAACCGCCTTAAATTTTTTTACCTTATTGCCAATGACGAGCTTGGAATAGAAAAGATAAGTATATAACTTTTTTTTTGCCCAAGATCTACCAGATATACACATAGCAAAACAATAAAGCCATATTAATATAAAAACGATCCATTTAAGTTCTCCTTCTTTCCTCGTACAATCATCGATTGGAACAGCCTACCACCTGATGTTGTAAATGCTACCACATATTCCGATTTTTGTTTTCTGTTGTCGCAGCAAGTGCATCCTGCTTGAAAGTATTTCAATGTACCACTCCTGTTACGATCTCGCAAGAGATTGACAGTATCAATAAAGAAAGAAACTGAGACAAGTACGATGGTTCCCAGAATCTTGAGCTGATGCGGCAAGCTGCCCTCGGTCACCCCTTCGTTCAATTCAATTGACAGTATTCTTGTGGTTGCCTCTCCATCTTCGAAGCCGGAGTAGTGCCACTTGTCTCGAACGATGCTTTTTATTTTTCCAAACGTAGAAAAAGCACTTCCTACGTTTGCATCTAGGACGCTAGTTGGAACCCAGTGCACCTTCATGGACAGCGCAGTCATGCTCCCGTCTATTATCAAACATATATTGTTCTTTAATTGGATCTCTCGAAGCTGCAACAATCTTTTTCTTTGGCAGAACGCACTGTGAGCAGCCACACATGATTGTACTGGTGGGCCCTAAGCGAAGCTAGCTCGTTTGGGTTGATGATTTTCTTCAAAGCAGGACCGAAATCGTCGATGCGGTACGGCCGGGCTGATGGGTCCCCATGAAGAATCAGTGAGTTTCAAAGCAGCTTACCGTTGGGAAGAGGTGGCAGTAAAGTCTTGTACTCCGTTGTACTTGGCGCAGATGAGGCAGAAGCAGAACTTATATCAGAATATTCCCGGCTAGGCTTAGCCGTTGAGTTTTCCTTTACGGAGCCAATTTCCAACGCGGCCATTCAGCTCGTCGTCTTCTTCGAACTCCCTATGCTATTCCATCGCTTAGGAAACTCGATTTGAAAATTCGTTTTATACGAGTTTAGCGGAGTGCGTATAGCCATTTCTGTCCGAAGTGCACTCCGGAGTTCGTATAGCTTTACTCTTTATATAAAACTCAAATTAAGAGGTGTCAATCTTGGATGGCTATGAAACGGTTCACAAGCCGAGGTGACTATCTTGCATGGCTGTGAAACGGTTCGCAAATTCTTAAAATGAATGTAATTCATGACATCAAAAATCAGGAAAAGTGTGTACCCGTCCTTCACTTTTTTTCCCCCTTTTGAAATTTGCGTTTTTCAGGCAAAAGGGACATTCGTTTACAAACGGGACCACATGCACCGTAAGCATGTTTCAAAGAAACTCCCTCGATGTCTGAACCTTTCGGGACGACCGTATACACTTGAATTCACAAAACCTATACGACTCCGTTGAAGCTAGAGAGCAAGCATGCATGCTATGCCAGATAGCCCTGGCTTCCACGGACGAACGCGAGCAGCAGATATACCTGAACTACGCTCGCGGATGCTTTCTTTCTGCACTCTTCATGAAACCATAATAATGAGGTGCGACACAACGGTCATGCCAGATAAAAAAGTATAAACTTTCTAGTCCAAACCTCTCGGACCGAGTCAGGAGCATATTAGTATTGCAGAGCGAGATTCCGACAATGAGCGCATCGCTCTAAAGAATGCTTCGGCTGCATATGCGGTTAAGCCTTCAGCATGTTATGCAAAGCACTCGTACATCACTCGCCGTACTTCAGCTTTCGCGTCGTAGAACAATCCTTTTGTTCGCGCGTCTCCGGCCCAGTAGACCTGGTACACCTTGTCGTCTTCAACTACATCGCTAAGGTCCCTTACATCGTCGGAACTCACAACAGGCTGCGTCTTGTCGAGTAGAAATTCTACTAAAACATAAGACATTGTAGAGCCCGGCCAGGATCGACAGGTTGGAGCAAGTGGGCAAAAAAAACGAGTCGAGAGCGATCGTTCATGGAAGCTCGGCGAAGCCTCTATTATGGGCGAAGCGAAAGTGGCGTTTCGGCGTTTCGGCGGGCTTCTGATCAAGGTTGTCGGTCGGTTGCGTGTCATATCTCTAACATCAGCGGTTTTATGGGCTCACGTCCCGAAATCGTTTTCTCGTGCCTAGATTATTTTTCGTATTCATAGATTTGACGAAATAGTGGTATCCGAGCGACCTTTACGTCCTTTCACCGTACGTCTGTCTGCACGTCAAAGCTTTTTGACGTACAGTAAGAGACAATCGATGTACAATCAGATTCGCCACGAAGACATCTTGATGGCATTTCGCGGCGGCCGACTGCCACCAGGAAACCATCAGAAAGCCGACAAGCGGAGTCTGACTGGAGTTTGACTGTCGGTCAGAGTAACTTGTTGGCCAATCAGACATGTTTGACGTACAGTCAGGCACAGTCAGCGGTCCACTAGAAAACATTGACTGCCAAACATGGTTACATTGATGGATTTTTTATTCGGGGTGGCTCCCCAGGTGACCCCAGATTAAAAGTGTACCTGCAAAATATT